CTTTTCATTAAATTAGACATACCCAGTTCCTGCAACCCTTCTTCATATGTTTTAGCCTCCAGTCCCCTAATCATCTTTGTTGATGTTCTCTACACTCTTTCTAGAGTGTCCACATCTTTTCTACATCGTGGTGACCAAAACTGAATGCAGCATCCAAGTGTGGCCTTACCAAGGCATTATAAAGTGGTATTAACACTTCACGTGATCTTGATTCTATCCCTCTGCTTATGCAGCCTAGAATTGTGTTGGCTTTTTTGGCAGCTGCTGCACACTGCTGGCTCATATTTAAATGGTTGTCCACTAGGACTAGGAATAGGCAGTGAGGGTGTCAGAGATAAAATATGCTAATTGAGCCATCAATTATTATTATTGGGAGAAAGAAAGGAAGGGAGGAGGGACAACGGGCAGGGGTGGGTTTCTGCTGGCATTACTGCCAGTTTGGTGCGCAAAAAAAAAAAAAGGAAAACAAATTACAGTTTTTTCAGTGAAAATTGTTCTGTGCATTCGCAAAACCGAAAATCAAGATGGTGCCACCTTAGGAGAACTGGTTCGGGGGCGTGGCAGGTCTGGGTCGCTGCTGGTTCCAGGCCACCAGATTACTACCGGTTTGGTCCTAACAGTTTTATCCGAACCGGTAGAAACCCATCTCTGACAATGGGGGAGTGAAAAATAAAATATGCTAATTGGGCCATCAAGGAAAATTTTTTATTGTAAAGGAAAGAAAGAAAGGAGGGAGGGAGGGAGGGAGGGAGGGAGGGAGGGACAGTGTATTAAGGCTTCCCGTCAGTGGTGAGATTCAGCCAGTTCGCACCACTTTGGGAGACCCAGTTGTTAACTGATGTTTTGTCAAACTGGTTGTTGGAAGAAATCATTAGGGCAGAGAACCGGTTGTTAAATTACTTGAATCCCACCACTACTTCCCGCGAAAAACCAAATCACATCTCTCTTGTAGAGGGCAATTCATTAATATCAGGAGAAATGACAAAATTCTTGGAACATATAAGCATGTCAAAGGGTAAATCAAAGAAGAATATCATTTTATTAGAGGGAAAGAAGCTGAAATTTCTTTTCTTAATGATGTGCAGGCTAGGATCACCCAAGTACTGGGCAGAATCAAACCGTGTCATGCTGGTGTCTGTGTTTGTGTGTAGAGATTAAGAATTCCAAATTGTAGCCTGAGAGGATCAAGAAAGAATCCTCCTTTAAAATGCAACAAGCAATTAATCAAATTTTGCTTTGCTGTATCTATTCGCATGTGGTTTGTTTCAACCATATGGCTGTTAGCATGGAAAATGCTGGACAACCATCCCTCCATATTTTCCCACGTGAAAAGACTACAGAGGAAAATAAAAAGGACATTGAAAAAATACTGGGGTTGGGGAATCATGAAATAAAAAAAATCCTCTGGAAACATTGTTAGAATGCGATGGGAGGGAGACACAGGATGTGGGCTTCATCTAAGAGCCCTGAGCTTCTATGCAAGCACAGCCTTATTTCCTAGGCAGGATAATCCAAAGCAAGCAGTTTTCTAGGAAGTGAAGAGGCGATGGAACCAGTTTCCAGAACTTGTGTATTATCTTGGAAAGAGATGGAAAAAAATAAGCTTACCACACATCTGTCTGCTGTTTGCTCTTCCTTCCTTCCTTTCCTTTCCTTCCTTTCCTTTCCTTCCATCCATCCATCCATCCATCCCATATGATGCCTTGCTGATCCAGAAGTAGGGTCATCCATTGCAACTGGTTTTTGGTTTTGGCAAACTGAGAACCAGTTTGGTGTAGTTCTTTAAAATCCAACATATTTATGCTATTCCAAATAACCAACACATGGTTGTTGTGGGGAAAATAGGAGGAGGAGGAAGCATTATGTAGTGTTTGATTGCCTTGAGTTATTTATAAAAGTAATAGATGTGGGTCTAGCCCCTCAATGCACAGATACAGGGACAATCATATGAAGTTTTTAAAACCAGCAGTTTCCCACCCAATCTCAGTAGCACAAGTTCAGACTGTTCAGGGCACCACCAATATGGGAACTGGGTTGTGGCAAGGGGATTAAAAGTCAAGACGGTGGCTTTGATCATATGGTTGAATCAGCCCTCTTGAATTTCTCTCTCTCATCCACACACAGATGGTTAGACACATTGTTTTGTCTTATTTTATTTTCCCCACTGTGGTCAATGCATATCTGTACAATAAGGAAAAAGAGGACTTTGACGAGTTTATCACCTAAATTATAGGCTACAAAACAACTCTGGATGGCTTTTCAAATTTAAAACAATAAATACAAAACAACTCTAAAAGGAAAATGAAAGGCTGGTCCATTGAAGGGAGGCAAAAACATCCCTCCAAATTCCCCAAATCTTCCATAGTCCATTCATCCAGGCCAGCGGGAGTGTCATTTAGTTTATCTCCTTTGAAGAGTTTTATCAGCTCATGTCATGGAGCTAAAGGACGCATTTTCCATGCCCTGCAGGAAATCCACTGTGTTCCCATTAGTTTGATCTTGAAGATCTAATCTACTTAACTGAAAGCACTGGGTTTCTTCTGCCAATGGGGCACATCCCAATTTTGACTATATGCAGCAAAATGCACATTGCCAAAGGTTCGTGTCTGCGTGTCAAATTAAGGAGTAAAACCAATAAAACTAGTGTAATTCAGCTCAAGAATTAGATGCATCTGTGTATGTGTGTGGAATTAGCCCATTTAAAGAATATAGGATTTTTATCTTTGCTTAGTAAAAATAAATTCAAAGCCCACTAAACTGGTAAATTAACTCATGGCTCCAAATGAATGCCTGAGGAAATAAATCAGATGCAGGGAAACCCCTTCCCAGCTTGTAATTGTAAGTGAAACTTCCATCCCCACAGGAACTGAGTTTAAGAAAAATAGTTCAAACATGGAGCTTAATTCCCTGAAGCTTTGCCCAACACCCAAGTAGATCTCAGGAGAAAATATTTTATCTTTTGCAATGGAACAGAAAAGCCTTGTTCTAAATTTGAAAGTTCAGTTTCTAACCTAAGTTCAGTCTTATTCTTTGCGATAGTGATCAATCCAGTAAGCATTACTGCAATGCACTCTACGTGGGGCTACCTTTGAAGAGCATTCAGAAGCTTCAGCTGGTGCAGAACATAGCAGTACAGATAGTAAAGGGTGATGTTTGTTTGGCACATGTAACATTGCTATTGGTGAGCTGCACTGCTTGCCAATATGATTCTGGTGCTGGTTGTCACCTTTAAAGCCCTTCATAGTTTGGGACCATATTGAGGGACAATCCCTCCACGGTTGTTTCTACTTGTTTATTTCCACAATCACTGGATCACCAGAACTAATCAGTGGAACTAAGGAGAAAGTTCCTGGCAGAACAATTGTGTAACAGCCTGCCTGTTGTTGGTGCTCCATTGCTGGTGGTTTTCAAGAAAAAAAATTGACAACTATTCGTCCAACATGGATTAAGGACTCTGCCTAGGACAGGGGGTTGGACTAGAAGATCTCCAAGGTCGCTTCCAACCATATGATTCTATGATTCACCTGAGACAGAATTGGGCTTTGCCTGTCTTTGTGCTTTACAAGTCGTGCGGGGTTAGCTCATATGGTGAGGAAGAGCTCTTTTAAGGGTAGCTAATAAAAATGGCAACTACTTTTCACAAGAAAAGGGTGGTTTTTTTCCCCTGCAAAGCATTTCCATTATCAATATAATTCTAAGTCCTTGATAACAGCTGTGTTTCCCCTTCCACCAAACAGAACCAAAGAAAAAAAATAAATTAATGACAGAGGCTTGAAGGTTTCGTCCACATGGTCTCCTTCCGGCACTCTTATGGAAACCACAGAGAACAAATGACACTGAAATGGCCAATAAAAGTGTGGGAGGCCGGCTGAGAGAAGTCCTGCTTCTTCAGCTGAAGGCCTTCAGTTTGCTCAGACTGTCAGCATACTGGAAATCAGTGCTGTTCTCATAATCGTACATGTCCAGCGCCACCTCGCAGCTCTCCCGGACGACCCGCTCTTCATCCTTGGCAAACTCCTCCAGGGTGGTCAGGCAGGACTCCTTAGCAATGGAACCCAAAGCCTCGGCACACTCGTGGCGCACCATGGCATTCTCTGCCACATTCTCCAAGGATGCCGTCAGCTGTGGAATGCTGGCCTCCTGCTGCATCTGGCCCAGCACGTAGGCAATCTCATGGCGGAAGAGGGCACTGCCACATTGGAGGCCTGGGGAAAGAGAAAAGTGACCGGACTAAGAAAAGAGAAGAGAACCTGCTTGGTAGTGTAAATGTAGTGGAATCTGACACTAGAATGCAGGAGGGGGGGGGGGGGGCTGTTTCCGAGGGAGCCAAGAGGCAGATCACACCATGTGCATCTGATGGTTATGCAGCCTGTGCTTGAGCCAGGCAAGATTAAAGTCAGGAACCCAAGGAACCAAGAAGGCTTAATTGCTGAGTAGTTTCTT